CAACTCAGAGTTGTCTGCTCCTAGTTTACATTTAATAAAGTTTTCCTTTAACTAAGATACATGATGATGAAATAACTCCTAACATTGCACATGTTACAGTCAGGCTGTAAGATCGAAAAGCAAAGGAATGTAAAACACTGCCCTTCTCTAGAATTGAGAATGCATTTTCTCAGACGTTGTGTAATGATATCACAATCAAGATGAACATTAATAAAATTCCTTTAACTAGGCGTGACTACTGGAAGATATCAGGAGTTACTCTCCAAGACTGAAAAATTACATAAGAACCTGGGGTTCACTGTTAACCGTTTTCTTTTGCGCGAGTAAATACAAAATCAAGATCGAAAGAAAGGAAGCATTAAGCAAAACACTGGATCCAAGTAGGCGATAAGTATCTCAAACGGTACAAGAAAATAATCAAGAGCACGAATGGATAAGTTCCTCAGATGGTCAGGAAGAAGAAGGATATTTCAGAAGGGTTGATTCCTAATGAGAAGAGGTTTCTAGCCAAGGTCCTTTGGAAGACATGGAGCAATTGTTTTTTTTTTCTTTCTGTTTTCATTTTCATGTAGTACAATTGTGCATTTTTAGATATTCCCTTTTCTTTTCTTTTTCCCTTTTCCTTTTGTAATTTCTTGAATTCAGTTCCTTGGAGGATAATAAGCAGTGATAACCTGTTGAAAATAATGGATAAGTTAGGAGGGTCTTTACTCAAAACTTAGTTCAGAGCAAAATATTGTCCTCAAGGTTTCACTTAGAGGCCAAATTTCTTTTGAGAATTGATGACTGTTGACGAGTGTGTCAGTACAAGATTTTAGTTTAACCATGATACAATTGCTCTATGTATCTCAATCAGTTTTCATATGATTAATAAACACACAGTATTGGCCTGACCAAGGGTTTAAAAAAAAAAATTATATTATAATGGTAATGCTACCAATAATAAAGTTAATGATTAAAAAAGTTTTGCCCAAACCATCAATAGAGCAATAAATTATTTTGAAATTATACTTGAAGTTTTAGAAAAATATAAAATAAAAGCAAAAATTTAACTTTAACAAAACATTTTATAATATATAGTATACAGATGTTTAATAAAATACATACTGTATATCTATATCAAAGAGTTAAATAATAATAATAATAATAAATATATATTATAATTTATTTATAATTATAATTATATATTTAATTTTTTATTTTATTATATAAATTAATTTTATTAATTAAATAAATATAATTCTAATAATATGTTTTATATACTGTATAATAAAATTTGTAAATATCTATTATACTATATAAAATAATTTTTTTATTAAAATTTACAAATCACATTATACTATTTTTAATAAAAATTAATAGAAATTTTACTATAAATAGAATTTATTGTAAATAATATATTTATTTAACAAATTAAAGTCAATTTATATAATAAAATAAATATATATATAAGAGACTATTGTTATAAATTAAAGATAATAATTTTAAAATTGAACACTTATAATTTTATCAGATAGATTTTTATGCAATATTAATTAATTGCATATTGTTTACTAAAACACCAAATTTAAAAATAAGATACAATTAAAATGAAAGTTAAAAATTAAGAAAATTTTTCAATCATAAAATTTTAAAACATGCGAAACACTCATGGCATGTAGATTTTATTTTGAAGATTATATTTACTCAATATGCAAAAGAAATAGTTAGTAAATAAAAGGTTTTACATGTACTAGCTTTTACATTAAAAAAAGTTTCGGATTTTTCGAATGTAAATTTTCTTTTATCGAGTAAGCCGGGACCCGGAAATTTTTTGATGATCGTCAAAATAGAATAGTTATCCTATATAAAAGTAGCTCAATTTGACTCATGTATTCAATTAGTGTTGAATTCTAAATCAAATCTTTACTCACCTCGCCAGCATTAAGTGCACAATAATTGTGATAATATATTGATATTCTATTCCCGAGATACGCGAGTTTGACAATATGCAGTAAATATTGATTTTCTTTGCTAACGTGTCGTTATATCATTAAAATACAAAAATGACTTGCCATTTTAAATAATATTTGATAAAGTATCAAAATGGAAAAAGATTTTGTCTATCATTACACAAGAAAATCGGGCGTGTATATATATTCCTATTTTACATACGTGCTTGTACTGTACATGTGCCACACATTGCGACATTTTCGGTTATTTTACATACTGTTAATAATGAAGAAAACCAAAAAGTTAATAATTTTGATATTTGGAAGTATTATTAGCATATCTATTATCTACCTCAAGAACAATATAGTCAGAGATGTGGGTTATTTGACAAGACCATTATGGGATAAGGACATGGATCCTTGGAACGTTACTAATCATTACTACGCTTTTGGCGTTCCAGCAGAAAAGCTCTGCAAATTGCATAATTGGACGCCTCGCAAGAAACGTCCAAAGATATTTGACGCTGTAATCTTTAGTGTCGAGTTGGATCTACTGGAAATTCGTCTACGAGAATTGTGGGATGTGGTTGATCACTTTATAATTCTGGAGTCGGACAAAACATTCACTGGTGAAGAAAAAGAAATGCTTTTTGCCAATAATAGGGACAAATTCTCATGGGCAGAGCAAAAAATAGTCTATAGACCGTGTAATTATCTGACTCCTCTTGGGAAAGGCGAAAACCCATTTAGGAATGAAGCAAAGATGCGCATTTGCATGAATAACATAATTAGAGAGTCGGGAATAAGACCTGGTGATCTCGTAATAAATGCTGATGTTGATGAAATTCCATATAGCCATACTATAGATCTTGTTCGCTCATGCGAGGGCTATCCTAAAAAATTACACCTGGAAATGCGTAATTATTTATACTCCTTTGAATTCTTTACGGGGAGTAATAGTTGGAGAGCTAATATAATGTCATATGAACCGGGAATTTCATATTACGACCACGAGCGAATGTCCAACAGTTTATTATCAGATGCAGGCTGGCATTGCACCTTTTGCTTTCGCTATATATCGGATTTTAAGTTTAAAATGGTTTCATACTCACACAATGACAGAGTAACTAATAAAAAATTATTAGAATATGATGTAATTCAAGAAAAAATTTGCTTAGGTAAAGATTTATTCGACATGCTCCCCGAAGCATTTAACTATAAAGATCTAATTAGTAAATTAGGTGATATACCAAAAAGTACCTCATTTGTTGTCGTACCCAAGTACTTGCTAGAAAATAGAGACAAGTTCTCGTTTTTATTGCCGGGAGGGTGTTTACGCGAGCGTAACTAAATAAATGTATACATGTTTCTTGAACTATGTTCTTGGTCACATAATATGGAATATTTATTTAATTAATTAAATTACAAAATCAAATCTTCGTTTAATAATGAATATGTATCGAATCCGTCTTTCTTTTATTAAATAATGCTTAATGGAATTGAATTCTAGACAGGAATGAGAAAAAATATATTATTTTTGAAATTTACTTAAATATAACTTATTGCCTAGTGGATTTCTATTGTCCCCCATGCGAGTATTTACTGTATGATTTTTTCTTACCTAATACGGCATACTATAATTTCTTAAATGATACTTAAAAAATCGTACTCGGCTATATTGTTTTGAAAAATATCTATATTGATTTCTTAGGTTTTAAGCTTATTAATTAATGAATTCTCGAAGATTTAATAAAAAAAAAATATGTTTTTTTCATAATGAAAAAATAGAAGGAAAAAAAAATTTTATAATAATTATATATATATAAGAAAAAATATGAAATTTTAATAATAAAAAAATAAAAATAAAAAAAAATAAAGACAAAGATAAAAAAATTTTTATTAATACAATCTATTTTTTAAATATTTCTGGTATACATATATTTAATAAATTACAATTTAAAAAAAAAGAATTTTTTAAATATATGATAAATTATTATTAAATATATTCTTATTTTGTAAAACAACAATAATATTTAATTTATATTTAAAAAAGTTTTTTTTTTTTTTAGTTTAATTGCAAATTAAAAAATTAAAATATCTATATAATCAATAATTATTATATAAGCGAAATAGTTTGATTTATAAAATATAATAAATTAAAAAAAAATAGATTTAATAACTTTAAATATATTATTAATTATTAATTTTTTTAAAAAAATATTTTTAATGTTAAAAAAATATAAAATAAAATATAAGATATTATTAAGTATTTTCAATAATTATTATGTTAATTATTATATATTATAGATATAAAAAATTAATAATAATATATTATAGATTCTATTTAAAGTATATAATATTATTAAAAGATAAATAAACTTTTATAATAGTTAAATAGTTAAAACTTATAGTTGCTTTCAAAAATTTAAGTCTATTTACTATATTTTTATTATAAATTTCAATTTTATTAATTTTTAAAATTCATATAAATTATATTTTAATACTAGTTTTATTTTTTATAGTTTTTTAAAAAAATTTCATATATAAATTTTAAATTTTATTATTTTTAAAATTTAAATTTTTGTTTTTAATTAATTATTACTATAGATTATATAATAATTGATAAAAAAAATAAAAATTTTAAAACTTTAAAGTTATTTATAAATTTTTTTTTTAAAAAATATAAGAAATGAAATAAGTATTAAAATATAACATATATAAATTTTATAATTTTTAATTATATAATTAAAGATTTAAAAATTAATAAAATTAAAATTTATAATAAAAATATAATAAATAAACTCAAAATTTTAAATAATGATATTTTATTAACAATATAAATTTAAATAATAATATAATTTATATATTAATTATTATTATTATATTTTAAAAACTGACTTATTTTACATTACTCCTGATGATTTTATTAAAAAAAGGCCATATTTAAAACAATTGAAATAAATATTTTTTCATATTATTTAGGAATTTACAAATCATTAGAGAAGAAATAGTATAAAGGG